CCCAAACCCAACCCCAAACCCAAACCCAAACCCAAACCCAAACCCTGTGGAGACAAAAGTGAACCCTCCAAAAAGTAAATCTTCACTTTTTTTATTCTCAATTATTTTTTTACCACCAGAATTTTCCTCCAAAACATAGTAACCTCCTGTTAGAAGGGTCATACTAGATTTTAGAAATTATTATGAAATATCCATAAAAAATATTACTTATATAAAAAAATGAGTAAATATAAATATGGACATATCATACACCAATCAATAGAGGGTACAATTCTAAACATATAGGTTAACACCTTAAGTTTATATCATCAATAGTTACAAAAATGTGGATTCAATTTTTTACAAAAAGTACATCTTCACTTTTTTAAATTAATATAAATATCTAAAAAATATCTAAAAAATATCTAAAAATTAATAAAATTAATAAAATATAACTAAATCAAATTTTGAAAAAAACGAAAAAGCTTAAAACATAACTAAATAATCAGAATTCAAAATTACACAAAGGAAATTAATAAAAATTACAAAAAATCATTAAAATCCTTAAAATCATCAATTTTAACATTTTTAAAAACCATATAAAAATAATCAAAAACCTCATTTTTGATGACTTTTTACACTTTTTTCCAAAAATTTTGCTCAGACCCCCTTTTTTACAATTTTTGAATTCTCAAAAATTTGCTCAAACCATCATTTTTACGATTTTTTGACCATTCAACTTTAAGACACACTTGCCTCAGCCCCAACCTAAAGTAGGACTATATTATTATTTATTATAAATCTAATCTAGTACTCCCTTACCAACCCCAAACCCTTCCCTATTTAACTGCTACAGTTTATTCTAATTTTATCTGTCTATTTCTGATTAGTTTTGTGATTTGATAGCTTCCTTAATCTTTTTATTTTTTAGAAAATCATATTGTTATGGTAGACTAATGTTGATTTATGGTCTCATAGTCTATAGATGAGTTTGTAAAATGACTTGATTCTAGGATATCTCTTTTGTTTCACAAATGTCATTCCCAATTGGAATGTTTCTATTCATTTAATAATATTTATATAATTCTAAAAAGGTTCTAGTAAATAAATAATTATTTCTCATAGATATAAGAATACGAAATTAATGAGCAATAGAATGTGCTAAAATAATGGTAAAAAAATATAGTTTCTGTAATTCTTGAGAATTCTAGAATACATACTTATCAAATTAGCTTGATGGTAAAAGAAGTATATGAAAACGATTATTATAATTATAATAAAATTTTCTACGATTTTAAGATTGATAAGAAATGAGCAACATGTCTAAAAAATAAAGCGACAACATTAAGCATGTAACATTAATTTCTTTCGAATTTTTTTAAGCCATTCAATCAGGATTTAAACTTAACTTAAGTCAAATTTATTTTGAAAATAAAGCTCATTTAATTATTTATTTCAATTTGAATTGGTATCATATTCATTATAATCAAAACCATATCACTAATCATTTGTCCTCAAGAATTGGATTTGGATGAAAAAACCTAAATAAATATTGTGATACAATACATAAATTCTTTGAAAAAAGATTTCAGTACCTTAAATTAAAAAAGTCTGAAGAAAAATATCAATATTTCGTAAACAAAATTTGTTTATTAATGAAACTTCTTAAAAACACTAACCTAAATAGGTAATAAGTTGTTAATTAAAAGAGCAAACATGATGAAAAATAAGTGTAAAAAGGATAGGTATAGTAGATTTGTTATAGAATGGAATAGAAAAAAGGAGTATTATTAGGATAGTAAATGAAAGATAGTAAATAATAGTTGTAAAAAATAATAAAAAAAGTATATATTAATAAAATAAATGAAAAAAGTTGAATAAAAAGTTTGATGATGTTGAAATTGATTATAAAATGAAAATAATTGAATAAAATTGTGTTATAAATCATTTCTCAAAGTTCTATTAGGTAATGATTTTGTCAGTTTCAAGATCCTTTTTAATCCATTTTCCAACTTTCTTACCATAATTATATTCACCCTGATGGATCCATTTGTAATTTTCATCAGCTAATTCAATCCACTTCCCAATCTTTATTTCACTACCATCTTCAGTGTATAATCCACCTCCTCTATGATATTAAAAAATTAGATACTTACATTTTATCATTCCCTTACTTCATATCCCATTTTCCAATTTTTTTTCCATTTAAATATACTCCACAATATGTTATTCCTTTTTCAATAGAAGAAGCAAATGGCTCACGTACATCAATCCATTTTCCTATCTTAATACCTAGGTCATATTCTCCACCCCCACTAATATCATTATATATGTTTTTACATCCACTTTATATCGTCCAATTTAAAATTAGAATCAACTCCCGCATACCCTATTTTCCATTTTCCATGTCTTTTCTCTCCTGCATAATAACAACCAGCAAAGTGAATTCGTGAATATAAACAAAAACTATCACTAATATCAACCCACATCCCAGTCTTAGATCCTTGATCATAATGACCACCACCACTAGATTAAAAGAATATTATCTTACACTAGCAAAATCTCTTAATTAATTTTAAAATTAATTTGCCATTTTCCAACTTTTCTACCATTATTAAAATCTCCCTTATAAGAAATATCGAAATTTCTTAATGATATCACAAATAATTTAATACTAATGCTATTATATAGGCTTATTTTCAGGCTAATCTTCAGGCAAACATGAATAAAATGAGGCTGAAATCTTAAAAGCAACTTAATTAAACTTTTCATCATAACCGCCTTTTTTAAAAGTATCCTCACCAAAATCTCTATGTTAACTGTAATATATATAACTTAATCCTTACCCAAACACATAATTGGACCCCACCTTCCTAAATGCCCTCCATTTGCCAACTTTTTTATCCTTATGGTAGTTACCCTAGCTTATATCATTTTCATAATTCTCTAGTTCAGTCCAATGTCCAAGTTTCATTCCTTAATCGTCATACATTCCACCACCCCTACTACAATATTATGAATATACATCTATAACATTTATTTTCCCCTTATTCTAACATTAACAGTCCATCTACCTACTCTCTTATTATTTTGATATTCCCCCATTTAATTTACATAATCACCAAGAAAGTAATCTTAAATTTCTATCCATTTTCCAATCTTATTTCCGTTGCCATCATATTATTCTTCACCACTAAGTAATTTATCTTTGTTAATATTTATTTACATTTCATTTTCATCCTAAGTTGTCCATTTCCCATATTTTTTCCCATTTTTATACCACCCAAGCTGACGTAGTTTAGAAAACTGCGAAAATTTACTCGATTATTCACTCCATAATCCATTTTTAACACCTTATTCATATTTTCCTCCTCCTCTGAAATATTTATAATTGTTCAATAAAATTACATATAATTATCGATTGTAAACTTTTTTTCTGTCGTATTAAAATAAATAATCCAAGAGCCTATTTTTTTACCATTTTCATAATCTCCAACATAAATTATTTATAATTATTGTGAAACAGAATCATCTAAATCAATCCATTTACCAACTTTGACATCACCTTCGTTATTATACAATCCACCGGCACTAATTTATTGTAAACTTTTTACATCTTATTCTCAACTTTTTCGTATAACCATATAACATCCCATTTCCCAACTTTTTTTCCATTTTGATATTCGCCTCTAGAAGTTAATTAAAAATAATATTTATAATCTGGATGGACTTCAACCCATTTTCCTATTTTAGATTCATTGCCTTTTTTGTCATACTTTCCTCCACCACTATAACTAAATTTTATTTATACATTTTTTGTTATCTCCACCAAATCTCATGTTTCCCAACTTTCTTACCATTTTTTACTTTACCAACATAAGTGAGTTCTTTAGCTTAAGTCTCATTTGCATTACCCATTTTTAAATAAATAAATTAATCAAATTTGTTTTTGAATAATAACATAAATATTGTTGATATCAACCATATAATACAAATTAAAAGTATTTTAGTAGTTTTATTATAGCAAAGTTAATTTCCATACAAAGTTATTAAAAGGATGATTAATTAAACGAAACTTCTAGTAAAGAAAACAAAAGAAATAGTACTCTTTTTGCTGCATTTTATAGTTAAGCAGACAATCATGATATATCTCATGATTCAAGTTAAATTGGATAATATGAAGAAATATGAAAATACAAAATCTTATTTGAAAAATCTTTACAATAAGCATAGAAAAGTAGGTGAATAACTTAAATTAAAAGATGAATATCACTTATTACCAACCAATTCCTAGAATTATCAAGATTTAGTCTTTTCAATCTCATAACAGAAAATTAATATTATAAATCTAGTCGAAAGATTGATTTTCTCATAAAAATTTATGTTTTTTTCTCTTTCTCAGAATGCTTTTTTCAGTTATGTTCTTTACTAATTGGAATTGTAGCATAAGTCCACTTATATTCAAGAGGCAAAATTATATACTAAATCTTTGCTCTAGCTCTTGTATATCATGGGTGAAGTCTTGAATCCCTGAAAAAGTTTATGATAAAAGTAATTACAAAGTTATTGAAAGATAAATTTTTAGAACAGTTGAAGCTTGGGTGTTGTATTTAATTAATGTAAAAGTAGGTTTCTTCAATAAATTCCTTTAATCAATTTTACCATTATTTGGCAATGTGTAATTGCAAAAAAAACCTGAAAGATCCTCTTGAATTCAACCTTTTCTAAAATCTATAGGAATGCCCAAAAAACACTTTTTCTTTTCGTTAAATATATCACAACTAATTCAAAATCCATCACCTTAGAAACTAGAACAAATACAATAAAGATATTATTATTATTTTCATTCATATCTAGACATGCAAAATCAAAATCATTTTTCATATTTTCTTTCTTTACTTATGATTTCCGACTAAAATAGACATACAATTAATCTTCTTTTATTTATAAATGCTCATTTAGTAAATGTTTATAGTTTGCTCTTTTTTCATGAATAGAGCACCGTTTATCTCCGTTGCGAAGGAGTAATCTTAATTAAATTGATTTATTTTTAGCTCACAATGGAAGTATCCCATGATTAAAAAGTCTTTTTAAAATTATTTAAACAAACAGTAAATCATCCTTTGTAAATCCAAGAAACTTGCCTGAATAAAAATATTTTTAGTATTTTTTTCTATTTAATGTGTAAAACACATTTGTAAACCATTTATTTTTTGGCAATTTTTCAAGCATACTCTAATACATTAAAACATTTTCTTCCTTGCTTTTTTTAAACAGTTATGAATTAGTTCTTTTAAACCAACCTGCTTCTTTAAATGATTTTGCCTAATGTAATTATATTAATGACAACTTCAAAAAATAATTTGATTTATTTTAATTTTTTTAATTTTTTTTTTTTAATGTTGAATAAATGAATTGATTTTCATCATCTTCATATTTTATTGTTTTTAGTTTATTCCTGAATAGTTGAATAGAAAAATTTAGAATAAATTTAAATGATACACCTTTTAAATATATTTTATTGTAAAATAGATTACTGAATAGAAGACAAATTATTTGCATAACTGCATCTTAATATGATCATAATTTAATGAATTTATTTAAAATATTACATAGAAAGTATTGTTTCTGAGATCAAAAATAAAATTTGAGATTTAATTATTAATTATTCATTTCTTATGATTGATGCTAATATTAATAATAATATGATAAAAAAATATACATTATCATTTAATTCATCTGAACTTGATGGGTTATTGATCAAAAACAAAAAATGCATGAAATTACTTTTTCTATATTGTCAATATATTTGATACTTAACCTTATAAACTATAATTAGAACACTATATTTTTGATAACTACATCAGTGACTCTTTAAAATGAATTGACCATGCTTTTCTTTTTCCAAAGATATCCTATGCAAAGAGGGTATATAAAGAGCTTAAATTTTGATTGTCATTAGCATTCTAATAGACATTTATTTATGGTTGAATAATTACTAATATTGTTGGTAATGAAAAAAGTGGTGATTTCAAATCACAAAAATCTATTTTAATACACTAGAAGCAACAATTTTATTATTATTAATAGAAGATTTGTATGATTTCTTTACTCAATAATTAAAATGGAGAGATTAAAAACTTGTTAATAATAGTAAAATGTGCATAAAGTATATTAAAAAGATTAAATTGATTTTTTAAAATCCATCAAATAATAAGCTAACACAGAGCAGTTTTAACATATCAATAATTAAATTAGTAATAGTTAAACTTACTTGAAATATTTAATATTTTTTATGCGATAAATTATAAATTACTTTATTTATTTTAATAAATTATAGTTAAGATATCATCATATATCAATTCCTCACTAACTATATATACTCAACTCAAGTTTGAATATTTTTAATATCACTAAAATAATTTATAGCAAATTAAAATATAACATCAACTAATTCAACTTTTAGATTTAATAAATTAATTAAAGGATTCAAAAACAAATAATTATTATATGATTTAGAATTAAAGACAAATAGATCTAAAATGATTTCAGTCATTCTAAGCATCTCAGAATTTATTAGGTTAATGCTTACAATTAATTCAAATGATGAGAACAACTTTACTCTTATAATAGGCATAGGAGTAAGAAATAGAAGAGGAGGATAAAAAAAGAAATTAGCTAATCTTAAGGCTTGAAGAAAAGCGAATGTAATAGTAATAATACCTAAATGTGTTTTTTAACTATGATCATAATTAAATTTAGGATAATCTTAATCAGAAAAAAGATTATATTAGACCATGGTAGGTAAACCTGGAGAGAGTATAGCAACTAAGGTATTAAAATCCCTCCTATGACAAATATTATTTAAAAATTAATGGAAAAATGGGAAAATGATAATAAAAGAAAAATGAGATCTATGATCCTTTCTTAAATTCAAAATAAAATTCTTGAGATAGAAAATGATTATTCTAGGAAAAATAATAATGCAAAACGATTTTTACATAAGAAGTTACCAAATACAAACTTTAAACTATCTCTGACAAGAAATCCCCTTGGTGGGTAGAAGTCCCTGAGGCCTTTAAGGAAAATGAATTTTTAACTCTATTTTTATTACTTAATGTGGTGTAGTATACCATGTTATGACTCCTTTGCATATCTAATTTATCTTAGATGCAAGTTAAAAGATCGTATTGATCTGGAACAATTATCCTGTGGCTCACTTCACAAGATTTTCAAAAAATCTGAAGTGTAAGTATGAATTCTAATCAATTGACTCTAATTGTAAGCTTTAATTTACAAATATAATCTATGATAAGATACCTTTTTAAGATTATGTAGGGTCTGTATGTTTGTGACTAACAAACCTTCAGTAGAGCTAGATTACAAGCATCTCCTATAAAATTGCTCAACCTTTTCCAATTACATGAGTAGAGATCAACACCTAATTAAATGAAGATTCCTTAAAAAAAATTTCTAGTATATTATTCAATTATTATTCTTATTATTAATTATTATTTAAATATTATTTAAATATTTTGGTGCCCATAACAAAAATAAAGGCGATATCACGAACCATAGATATCAAGTTAAAACTATTCTGTATTTTATTGCGGGATAATTAAGATCATTAATTAATTAGCTTCTCTTAACTTTGGAGCACTTACTTTAGACTCCACTTCCAATATATCCTACATTTACTGTATACTTAAATTAAGAAGTCTTTGCCTTTTAGGATAGGCTGCAAAGATATTCCATGAAGATGACTTTGCGTATAACTAAAACCTTACATAATTCTTAGATTGGAAGAATTTTGGACTATTTGATTTTAAGACTCTCTTTGCAAATGCATTGAAATAATAGTAAAAATTGATAAGAAATGGGATGATTATATAATTTTTAAACTAACTTTATGAGGAATTTTTAGTAAGAAAAATATCATGAGTAGAAGTTGAACTAATAATACTCTTCTTATTAACATTTACTTGAACGAAGAATTTAGGTAAGAACGAGCTAAGAAAGGAGCAATAAATATAATTAAGGAATTCATTCAATAAATTCCTTAATATTATAAGGTCTATTAATGGAATAAAATTCTAATTAATAATCTTTATAGTCAAAATACTTATACCAAAGAAAGCATAATTAAGTTGAATAATTTTTTTTATGAAATTGATTGAAAATCTGAAGATGAGAAAGAATCTAGGGATATAAGGGAAAAGAGAAAAGAGAAATCGAAGAACTAATGATTTGCAACAGCATTTAAAATAATCAGCTTTAAAAGAATCAACAAAAACTAAATCCATAATCCTTCCTAGAAAGATTTAATTAATAATCATGATTTGATAGAACTTTTATTGATGTAAGTTTTTTTTTCGAATATCATAATATTGTTTTGCCTACAAAAAACAATACTATTAAAAGTTACTTAAATAAAACTTTCTTCTGATCAAATATAGATTTATTTTATTTTTTTATTATTTTAATTCCTAAAGATTTCAAGCAGGTTATAGTCCTTATTGTTTTATCGAATGATCCTAATAACTCTAAAATTTGCCAACCAGAGTGGCCATAAAATATTCTTATCATTTATTTTTCCAATGATCCATGTTAAAAAAATACTTAATCATATAGTTTTTATCATTAATGAATCAGGAAAGGCAAAAGGCTATGTTCAAAGAATGATGTTGTTGCTAAACCTATGAATCGATTTCTATTGGGTACCTATTTATTAATCAGGGGTTTAGCTTAAATTTTTTGATTAGTTTAATTTTCAATAAACTAAAATTTCCTTTTTTAAAAAACTGCAAGTTATTTACAATCATTATATTAGAATGTTATGTAAAATATATAATTACAGAATGTGAATCAGATAATTTTAGAAAGCAATCATTTTAATTTATTTTATTAAAGTATATAAGAGTTAACAATTAACTTAATGTGATTTAAATTTTTATAAGTTTTTATTATATATAAAAGATTTGTTCATTTAATTAATCGATATATATTTTCAAATTTGCTCTCTATATCTAGGAAACTAATTGACAATAACTTAATTTATACTTTATAACTATTTATGCAAGATTATGAAGTAGTAAATTCTTAGATTGCTGCTCCAAAATACTTTGGGTCTTTAAATTTTACAATTGTATTTGGACAAATTTCAATAGATTAAATTTCAAATGGAATCTTTCTTGATAATTTTAATTATTCTCCTTTTGTTATTTAAAACAAAGTCCCTTAATAATTACATTAACTGTAAAATTTAACATTTAAGCAATTATTAGTATTTAAAAAGAGGATTTTTATGAAGGATGATATCGGTTTAAATTTGGCTGATAAAACATTTGTTGATTCCATGCATTTCTAGTTTTCAGTTATAGTTGTTTTCTCACCTGAATAATTTTCCATTTTAAAAAGAAATATATTTTTCAAATTTGGGACAGTGACAGATCTGATAAGCTTAGACCATCCTTAAACTAATAAATTAGGTATTTAATCACAAACTATAAAAGAATCACCTTAGAAATTGCATTCAGAGTAGAGCTCTGCACAGTTTTGATCAAAAATTTTATAATTCGAATCATATAAATAAATGCCTGTTTAGTAATGAACTCCATAAATCATGCTATCCGCCCCTAGAAGTAATTTGAATTTTGTACATGTAGCAAGTGTAAATTGTAATTTAGTATTCAATAATACGTCCGCAAAAACCAATCTGAAATTATAACTTCTTTCTACGTCATATCCTCTGAAAGTTACAAGAGGAATTAGCTGATAGTTATCAAAACCACTTGGAAAGTCAATTTTCATATAGAGACTATAAGATGAATGGGGTCTAGAGACAAATGGATGGTTTGGAGCATTAATTAAAGCAAACTGAGAAGATGCCCATAATGATTGATCAGTGCCAAGCAGAACATTGAATCTTACATATTCCAATTTTGATAGCGAATATGATCCTACAGATATTGTAACAAATTGCGAAGTAATTTATCCAATCTAAATACTAAAATTAAATAGATGTTACTTTGAGTTCAACAATAGGATTATAAGCTGAATGTTTAATGCCCGTTAATGATATTATACCATTAGTTACATCTTTTAAGTTATGCTCTAATTTGAAAGGAACTTCCCTTTAACCTGTACCAGTTGTTAATTCTAAGAGATCCCATGTATCGAATATTATTACAGAAACTCTATTATCATTAATTGCAAGCCAATAAAAATATAATGTATAAATAGGGGATGGAGTTACAGCTATTCCGCTAATCTTAAATCCTTTTATAATTTTTAGGTTGCATAATTACCCTTAGTAGTAATAAAACTAACTCTTTCAATAAATCCATTAGGTGTTCCAATAGACCAATCAAGTAAAGATGGTTGAATAAAAATTTAAGGAGCTATTTCAAAAACTTTTGAGAATTGTATATCATGCACTATTTATCTTGGAACTGCTGATTGGCTCTCCAAAATGTGGCCAGTATAAGATGACACAATAACCTTAAATCCAGTATCATATTGTGGATGCCTAAAATTCAAAACTAGCGTAAATAGTGAGATAAGAAATATTGCCTTCATAAAAATTATTTCTTTTTACTCTTAATATTAAATCGAAAAAACTTTTATATTATTTAATTATTTTCATTTAGATCAAGATTGATTATTAGCAGATTAAGGAGAATAAAAAACTATTTAAAATTTAGCTATCTTGAAAAGTTAAATACAGAACATCGGATTTTATTTTAGGGTATATATTAAAACATGAAAAATAAAGCAATGTTGTTAGTCTGATTTACTTTATTTATGGTAGTTGCTTATTAAAATAATAAAAGCGTTAAAAAATTTCCTGTTTTTTAAAGCTTATTTAATCTTTGATTCAGGGAATTTTTGAATTATTAGTTGATTTCTTTATTATTTATTAAGATTTCTAAAGGTTGATTTAATAAAATAGGTAGAAGATTTTATAGATGGGCATCATACTATTTAAATAATTTTTGTTAAACAAATTTAGGCTCATGAAACTAAAATCTATACAGTTTTGATAAAGCCTATTAATAATCCAAAAGAACTAAAGTTCGAAATGTATAGGATCTAAAATAATGTTGTATAATATTCTTTACTGTGACTATCCGCCTTCTCTTATTCACATAACAAAACAACAATTATATCTTTGGTCTTGAACCACTACATCATTCAGAAATAACATATTATCTTTCTTCTGATAAATCAGATTTTCAAAATTAGCAATAAAGAGAGACACCATATTTCAAAAATTAGCATCTAAGGGCAACAATGAATTCTTAATATTAACTAAAATTAATTTAAGAAATATGTTAAAAGTTCTATTAAAGCCTAAAGAAAGAAAGTGATGGTACAATTATCCAATCTCCAATATTTATTAGTATAGTTTTTTTTTGTTTAAATCTCTCACTCCTTTTGAAAAAAAATATTTTCAAGAAATTATTATATATTATTATCAACTGTGATAGCTCGTTATAAATTTTATTAAATCAACATAGCATAATGAATATTAGATAATATAAATTGGTTAAACGCATTGGAGGAGGCAGATTTGGAGAAATATTTTGCTGTATTGAAACAGAAACAAATTTGAAATATGCAATTAAATTAGAACCAAGAAAAGCAAAACATTAGCAATTATTATTAGAAGCTAAAATTTATGAAGAATTATAATGTGAAGAACAATTTATTCAATCAGGTATTCCAAAAATGATATCATATGGTGAAGAAGGTAATTAATTTTTAAATATTAGGCGATTTCAACTTTATAATTTTTGATTTACTAGGCTATTCACTTGATAACTTATTTAATTAATGCAATAAAAAGTTTTCATTGAAAACCGTTCTAGTTATAGCTGATTAAATGCTGTTGATATTAGAATTCATTCATTCTAGAGGTTTTTTACATTTAAATTTAAAACCTTCTGATATTATGATAGGATGTTTGGAAAAGTAATATCTCATTATAATTTATTAAAGTGCTCATAAAATATATTTAATAGACTTTGGATTGGCTTTAAAATATATTGAAGTTTAATAATAAAATAAATTCAATGAATAACAACCATCCTTTGAAAAGCTTAGAAGAACATCTATATTTTCATCGGTTGATTCCCATATTGGAAAAGTTTAAGTAAGTTAATTTAATGTATTCAGGGTAGAAGGGATGATCTTGAATCTTTAGGATATATAATGATATACTTTTTAAGAGGTTCATTGCCATGGTAAAGTACTTATAATGATAAATTAAACCATGAATACGATAAGATGGTCTATCTAAAATCATCAATGACGATTGTAACATTATGTAATGATCTACCAGAGGAGTTTTAAAAATATTTTACTTAAATAAAAAAAATAAATTTTAATGAAAAACTTGGTTATAGATTATTAAGGTAATTACTACAAGGCCTTTTTCAAAAAATGGATTTCAAATAAGATAATATATATGATTGGAATAATATATAAAATCTACAGAATTGATTATCGGATAAGTTTTTCGATATCATAATATTAATAAACTATAAAATAATTTTAATNTCTCTCACTCCTTTTGAAAAAAAATATTTTCAAGAAATTATTATATATTATTATCAACTGTGATAGCTCGTTATAAATTTTATTAAATCAACATAGCATAATGAATATTAGATAATATAAATTGGTTAAACGCATTGGAGGAGGCAGATTTGGAGAAATATTTTGCTGTATTGAAACAGAAACAAATTTGAAATATGCAATTAAATTAGAACCAAGAAAAGCAAAACATTAGCAATTATTATTAGAAGCTAAAATTTATGAAGAATTATAATGTGAAGAACAATTTATTCAATCAGGTATTCCAAAAATGATATCATATGGTGAAGAAGGTAATTAATTTTTAAATATTAGGCGATTTCAACTTTATAATTTTTGATTTACTAGGCTATTCACTTGATAACTTATTTAATTAATGCAATAAAAAGTTTTCATTGAAAACCGTTCTAGTTATAGCTGATTAAATGCTGTTGATATTAGAATTCATTCATTCTAGAGGTTTTTTACATTTAAATTTAAAACCTTCTGATATTATGATAGGATGTTTGGAAAAGTAATATCTCATTATAATTTATTAAAGTGCTCATAAAATATATTTAATAGACTTTGGATTGGCTTTAAAATATATTGAAGTTTAATAATAAAATAAATTCAATGAATAACAACCATCCTTTGAAAAGCTTAGAAGAACATCTATATTTTCATCGGTTGATTCCCATATTGGAAAAGTTTAAGTAAGTTAATTTAATGTATTCAGGGTAGAAGGGATGATCTTGAATCTTTAGGATATATAATGATATACTTTTTAAGAGGTTCATTGCCATGGTAAAGTACTTATAATGATAAATTAAACCATGAATACGATAAGATGGTCTATCTAAAATCATCAATGACGATTGTAACATTATGTAATGATCTACCAGAGGAGTTTTAAAAATATTTTACTTAAATAAAAAAAATAAATTTTAATGAAAAACTTGGTTATAGATTATTAAGGTAATTACTACAAGGCCTTTTTCAAAAAATGGATTTCAAATAAGATAATATATATGATTGGAATAATATATAAAATCTACAGAATTGATTATCGGATAAGTTTTTCGATATCATAATATTAATAAACTATAAAATAATTTTAATTTCTAAATGATAATTCTAATTCTCATATTCAAAAAATCATCTTTAATTTATTGATTTAACTATTATTTTAAAACTATTAATATCAAATTTTATTAAATTGAAAATTAAAACTCAAATTCTAAGTCACTTTAATATTTTTTGGAAAACATGTTAGCAATATATTACAAATATTAGGCAAATTAAACCATTTTTATAAAATTTTGTTATAAAATAATAATAAATCATTTAATTGCAAACAATTTAGACTTATCCCAATTAAATTTTTAAATTACATTGTTATTGAAATGATCGTTCTATTAGTTTTTATTAATTTAATAAGAGAATAAGCATTATTAAAAGAATTCTTTTCTCAGAATATTTTAATGATGATAAATTTTTGATTATAAGATTTATTCACATCAGAAATTGGAAGCTCTTTTTATCTTAAAGTAAAAATATTGTAAATTTGATTGTAAAATTTGTTAAATGTTGTCGTGATGCAATAACTCTGATTATTTTTATTTATTTTTTGTATAATATAAATAATTATACTTAAAATCAAAATTATATATATATTATTATTATTATGGAATAATAAGTTAATTAACTATCTTGGAAGGTTCAACAAAATCCTAAAGAATTGGATTTATCGTACTGTGTGTTTTTATAAGACATTGAATTCATAACTTATTTAAAATCACCATAAGCTAAATAAATGCAATCATTAAATTTATCACATACTCTATTATCAGATGCTTCTCTTTTACAATTAAGTTTTTTAGACTCAAAATCTTTGAAGTTTTTGAACTTAAGTTATTGTGTAAATTTTACAGAAGGGGCAATTGTCAATTTATTAAACTCTGAAACTATTGTTAATGTAGAAGTTCTTGATTTATCAGGTAATTAATTATCTGATGTGTGTTTAAAGTTTGTATTATAACCAAATAAAATGAAATACTTGGCATCAATTATTTTAAACGATATAGTATTAATTTATATTGATATATCACTTAGAAAAAAGGACAACAAGGTTTTTCGTATAAGCTTTTTGAAATACTCTCCTAAACTAATCTCAATAAGAGTTTATTAAATCTTAGTGTAGGCAATTCCTTTGTATAACCTGATCAATTATAAATGACTAAAGCACAAACAATAATGAATACCTTTTTTAATCGAATTATGAAAGAAGATCATACGTAATTGTGAAATTGTATATTTTAGTTATTTTTATCAATTAAGCTTGAAGGGCACCTCTATTTAAACTTTAACACTTTTTAAATGCGAATTACTTACTAATAAATTCATTAAAATGCTTTGTAGAAACATTATATTTCTAAGTTCTATCAAAGTATTAAATATTGGTCATTGCAAATTATTGACAGACAAAATTTGTTATTACTTATCTGAAGCAGGTGCATCTGTGTAAAAATTAGTAGATTTAGAATTATTGGGATTAAACATTACATCTGATGGTTTAGACAAAATAATAAAAAGTAAATCCCTTAAACTCAATCATCTTGGATTAGCCATGTGCGAAGATATATAATCGGATGCTATAAAAACATTAATGGATTCTAAATTTGGTAAAACATTGACTTCTTTAGAAGTATCAGGATCTTACTCATAAAAAAGTTAAATTGTTGGATTGTTTTCATAGGAATAAATCATTTGGAAAGATTTTAATCTTAAAACTATATATATTGAACTCTTTTTAGATTAAGGGTGTTATTATCAACATGTTGGAAAATAATAACTTTAATTTCAAAAATAACAATAACTAAATTAAAATTTAAGTCAATTAGATCCATATTATAAGACATTTTTCGAAACACATATGTATACAATTATTGATTAAATAATTTTCATTAAAAAAATAAAAGTTGTTATAAAAGTTCAGTATACTGATGAAGATTTAATTGCATAATATTTAACTAATTTTATTGAATAAAATAATCTTTTAGATAATTTATTAACGAATGATAATTAATTATTTGTCAACAATCTTTGCATATTATCATATGTTTTATAATCAATAACAAAAGCTTCAGCTAAAATTTATGATGTGGAAGAAAGATATTAATAAAATAATTAAATATCTATAATTCAGATAAATTACCTTGATCCCATAGAAAAAGAAAAAATAAATGTCTCTCAAATAAGAAATTTGGTTTTAATGAAGTAAGATTTGTTAAGAGATGAAGATTTAGCTTTAGTAGGAAGATATTCAGAGACAATTTTTTCATAATTATCATATATTTAAATCAAAGGTAACATTTAATTCTCATAAAGGTTGTAAACAAATAACTATTAAAGGATTACAATAATTAGGAGAAAGATTACTTCATCAATTATAATTTCTAGATGTTAGAAAAACATAAATTAAATTAAGTGAATACTCTCAAATACTAAACGATTTTATCAATCTCACTTCATTTAATAATAATAAAATTCAACTTGATTTTAATTAAGTAAATTTGTTTTATATAATAGAAAAATACGAAAGATGATCTTGTTTAATGGTTAAATTTACTTTTCAGATTGCTATCCTTAAAGAAATTAAGTATAAAGAATACAAATAAATAATCAATTTTTAATATGTTTTTAATGAGGTTTGTGGCTTAAATGGTAAAAAACAATCATTTATCAATGAAAAAATTATATTTATAATGTTTTTTAAACATTGCTGATTTGTAATAATTAATTTTAAATTAGTCAATTATACTCAGAAGAAAGCCTAACTGAATTATGTGAAAGCATTTAATTAAGTTTCAATATAAAAACATTTTATTTGGAGATTTCTGGATTAATTAAGCATTAATTTATAATTGATGTTTTTAACACTTTAATTAATACATAAATTACTAATTTAAATTTATAACTTGAAAAGTATATTATTTCTGTATTATAGATAAAAGTTGTAATATTATTGATGAAATCTTCATTAATAAATAAACTAGTATCCATTATTTCAAAGCACTAGAATTCAGCACTTCCAATTTAACTTAACTTGATATTATTCTATACAATACTTAATAATTGGAAGATTTAACAGCTGTATTGTCTCTTAATGAAAATAAAATAGATAGTTTAATTTATCTTTTTTAAAATAACTAATTAATTAACCTAAAAATTGAATTACAACAAGCAAAAATAGAATAATTTTTAGATATTTTAATAGCAATCAACCCTGAAAAAATAAAAACAGCAGAATTTATTATAAATAAGTAACAATAATATACATATTAGTATTTTAATCAATGAAATTTTTTTACAAAAACTCTAAGAATTTCTACTTAAATGTAAAAGATTGATTGAATTTACAATATCGATGATTGGGTAATTATATTATATATTTTAAGATGTGGATGTACTAAATAAATGATGGATAAATATTTTAAAAGCAACTTATAAATTTTTAAAATTCCATAACTGAAATTTTATTATTGAGTATAATATTAGAGCAATAAAAATGATAATCATTTTATTACTTCTTAAAAGTTAACATAATTTCTCAATTTTTTAAATATTTATCAATAATTAACAATTAGTTAAATATATTAACGTAAATTTAAATAAATGCAAGAAAAATAGGAATAAAGAAAATCAACAGATCTCATCTGTTTCTGGTGTTTTAGTTTATTCTAAGCATTTTTCTTCTGTATTTCCATTTATGCATTATTAAATGGAAATCCAAATAAACTAGGGGTACCTTATGATCCTGATCGTAAACTATTTTATTCAAATTTTTATATAGATTCTTCTTGTGGCTTTGACTTAGAATAATACAAATATATATACTTTACTACTCCTTCTAATAATTTCCTATATAGGACAGTTTGTTTGAGTGAATGTCCAAATACTTAATAAATAAGTAGCAATATTATACAAAATTAAGCTAAACTATAATGTTCTCCAAATTCTATAGTCAAATCGTGTCAAATAAATCCTAGTGTTACAAATATTAGTGAATCTATACTAGCTTATCCTTCAGAAGCATGTAATTATTTTTATCATTTAGACAATAGTTAAATATGTTTACCAAAAAATCCAGATTACTTAAATGAAATAAAAGAATTTATAGTTCCTAGTGTCAATCAAAAAATAGGTTCAGGTTTAAGAGATTTGAAATGGATAATATTAGCAATTTCTTTGATTTCAGTTATTATTAGGTAATTATTTTTGTTGATTATTATAGTGTAATAGTATTATTATTCATTGAAAAATATAGCACACACATTTTCTGGGGTTATTTCGTTATTATTATATTGAGTTTGTTCTCATTATGTCTTTTTGGTGCTTAACAATACTATTCATCATAAGAATAATTAAAATTAAATCAATAGCTTGAGACATATCAAATAATAACATTTGCTAATTCTCTCTAAATATCTTAGAAATTATACTAAATTGTTATGATAATTTCTATAATTGCTGTCATGTTAAGTATTATTTATGCAATATATTTAAAATCATAAACAACTTTATTGAATTTATTCATCAAAGTTGGTGGAGATTTTATTAAATCAAATATAGCATGTATAATTGCTCCTGTTGTAGGATCAATTATGATAATGATATATTCATTTATTTGGATTGAATAACAATTATATTTATTGTCTAATTTGAAAATTTAAGATAACAAATATCCATATTTTTAGATTGATTTGACTTAAGACATTTAAGTATTGATGATTATGAATTTTCTTATTTTCATCTGGACCCTTGCATTTATAATAGGATTAATAGAATATGTAACAAGTGGAATGGTTTGTGAATGGTATTATTAATAAGGAAACAGAATGAATTTTGAGAAGAAAAATATTTTATCAGATCTAATTCAATACCATATAGGATCAATTGCTCTTGGATCTATGTTAATTACAATCTTTAAATTTATTAAATAGATATTAAATTCTACAAAAATATGTTAAGGATTTTATAATCGAATAATTTTGGCTATATCTAAGCACAATTATGTGATTATGCATATATAACCAAATCATTTTTTAGATTGTGGCATAATAGTTAGAGAATTAATTATAAAGGAAATTGATACATATAATAAGATAGGAGAACTAGGCTAAACATTCTTGGGAATATCTCGTTTGAGTATGGCATTATGTTGTCAATCAATATGTATGTTAGTCATCTAAGATCACCCATATTCAATTATACTATCACTATATTGCTTTGTAATTGCGTATAGTATTACAAGCTTGTTCATCTCTTTATATGGGTAATCATCCGAAGCTATTTACATGCTTTATTTATATAGTCAAAATCATTTGAGTCAGGAAGACAATCCCTAATGTACAATTGTAAATATCATTATTATATAATTATAGACTTTATAATTAGTGTTTAATTAGTTAAATGACAATATTAATCAAATGTAATGACGTATAATTTTCTATATTACATATATTATATTGCTTAATATAAATATAAAAATTGTTCCGATTATCGTAAAGTCTATATATATATTCATATCATCTAAGTATGATATTACGGTTGTTCCCAATAAAATCAGTAAAAATATAATATCATTGATTTTATAATCTTGGCATTTACAGTAATACCATAAGATTGATCCAAAGTATAATAAAGAGCAAAATAAAGTTGATTTAAAATGATTTTCTCTGAATGTTATTTGAATTAATATAAAAATGGTTTTTGTTAAATGTTGATTAAAATAATAAATTAATAGAGGTTTTCTTATTGCACTAAATCTGTAAAGTTTTATGGATAGAAATATTTGAAATATGCATCCAATAATGACACAAATTATATTTGCCACTTCATAAACTGATATTTAAATTAATTTATTTATGCAATAAAGATATAATAGTATCGAAAATGCTTAATCAAATTATTAAATATTTAAAACTCTGTAAAGGATTTAATTAATTTTTATTTCAATTTTCTTTATTAATTTCAATTTTTCTTCTGATTTTGCTTAGATATTTTCAAAAGGTTATTTTTGGTTTCTAAAAGTAAAAACATTATTCTTTACAGATGTTGGTCTAATTTATGATCTTAAAATAATTTGATAGCGAGTTCTGATTTTTTATACTATTAATTTCAATATATAGAGAAATGTGATAAATACGAAAGATATCCATATGTTTGAAATGAAATATTAATCTTAATTCCTATTTTCTAATTTAAGACTCTAACCATTACCTACATCATATATGGAAAAGGGATAATTGATATAAATTAATGGCCAAATTTAAATAGAAAGGAGTTATTACAAATAAATACTATAATCTGCATTGAAATAATAGAGGTATGATATTGCAATAATAAAATCCAAACATAAATGATGAAATTCATTAAAGACAATAGATATTGGTATCATACCCAAAATAAAATACAAAGTAATACAGTATATTTATTACACAATATTTGCATTCTCATATTATTTGGATGAATAATAATATTATTTTTATGGTTAAACTAGTAATTCTACAAGATCAGAATCAGATAATATTCTTGTTTTCTTCTTTACTTAAACATGAATTAAATTAAATGGTTTGATATCTTTTTTAAATAAAAAGTCAATTAAGCATTTCATGTTTGAATCTAAAGTAGATTCAATTTATGAAATATTATATTAATAATTTTCATCTGAAATTTATTCTATCCATAAGGAAACCAAAGAACAATTTGAATTTATATTCTGAAATGATAATATAATTTGATTGTTTGATTATAAATTTGCTTCCTTTTTGATTTCTGGTAAAGGAATACAAGATGAACCTGCACATTAGTAATCAGGTTCAATTTTGCATTAAGAATTGCAACCGTCTTAGTTTTTATTATTGCTATCATCACACTCTTCTTCTCCTACCACAATTCCATCTCCACAGATTGATTTACAAGTATAATTAATTAGATAATAACCAAATTAGCATTTTTAACATATTCCATTAACTGGATTTTGAGACTTGTCTGAACATTCAAGACAATTTGATGATAATAGATTGCAAGTCTTACATTATGATTAACATTGTAAACAATTACCATTATTGTTGTAATATCCATCATTGCATAATTCACAATTAGAGTTAGATGAACAAAATATACAATTTGTATGACATCTTGAACATAATGAATACTAAGATTAAATTCTAGGAGTGCAATACCAATTTTATTCAATATAATGATTAAAGCATCCATCTCTAGGTAAATCATTACCATCATCACATTCAAAATTATTTTAATTATTATTTTCGCCATTATTTTAATTATTATTTCCATTATTTCCATTATTTTAATTATTATTTCCATTATTTTAATTATTATTTCCACCATTATTTTAATTATCATTTCCACCATTATTTTAATTATTATTTTCACCATTATTTTAATTATCATTTCCATTATCAGTTCCCCCATTTTGATTATTATTTCCATCATTTCCATTATTTTAATTATCATCTCCACCATTTTGATTATCATTTCCATTATCAAGGACACAAATTTAATCTATCTCTTTAAATCCTTATTTACAAATGCATTATTTATTTTCATTCATATATCTATTATATTTACAATCAATGCATAAATTCTAATCGTAGGAATCATAACATAAATTACAAGTATAATGACAATCAGGTATTTTTTCACAAATTTAGTTGCCTTCATCTCTATATCCATCTATACATACACAATTAGATTCATCTTTTAATTCTCTATAAGTAACATTTTTTGGTTAACATTAAATACAACTATTTGATGATAATGGTTATGAACAAGTTAAACAAGAATAATGACATATCATTTCACAAAGTTTTGTTGATGAATTTTCTTAGTAATCTTATTAACAACTGCATTATTTATTTAATAGTATTCTATTTAAATCTGGTAGACATTATAAACATTGATCTAATTCATCACAAGCATAACAATATAATTGACTCAAACATGACTTTAAACAACCTTAATCTTTATCCTCAAAATATCCATTTTTACATAAACATTGTTTATCAACAAGATACCTATTTATTTAAGAGTCACAAGTTAAACAATTAGACTCAAAATTTCCATCACATGTTAAACAAGTTGAATGACATATTGGCATACATTACTTATTGATATCTTAATAACCTTATCTACAGTTACATTTTCCTAATTCTAATTCTCTATCATCCACACAAGATAAGCATTTATCTTTTTCACAATTAACACAAGGAAAAGGACATTCTAATTTAAATAAATAATATTACTTTTGCATTATGGTTCATTATCTAATTCATAATATCCATCTTTACATAAACATAAATTATTATTAAATACTCTTCTCAATGCAGGATCACATGATAAACAATAATTTATATCATCTGAACACGTAAAACAACGATAATTGCATTTTTTGAATTTTTATGATTAATACTCTATACAACCTATTCCTGTAGTAGTACAAGATGCACAAGTTTAAGATGTTTACTAATAGTATTCATTTTATTAGGGACATAAATAATTAACATTTCTATCATAAAGAATAAAGATTTAATTCATTCCACATGATTTTTCTCTTGAATCATTATAATTTTCACTCAGACAGGTAAATTTTATGGTTAATTATTCTTCATAATGTACATGTCTAATAAAAACATCCAAACTATAATCTACATCTTATTTTCCAGTCAATGATTAAGGTTCTAAATCTTTTATTGTATATTTGTATTCTGTATCTTCAATTGCAATAATAAAATAATCTTCTAAAGACCAACCATCAATAAAATATAATGTACAATAAATTCTAATTTAATAATGATAAGGTAAATCAATAAATTATTTTACATAACTACCATAACCCCAAGTAGCAAATCCTCCAATTATTTTTTTAGTTGGTAAATTCGAGAATAGTAATTTTGTGAAACTATTATCACTCTTAGGTTAAATATTAAAAGTATTTTAAATAGTTTTAGAATCAAAATCTAAAGTATAAAATTCTTTTATTAAATATACTCCACTAGAATTTTAGCTTATTCCTGTAGTATATTGTAATGTTTCAATATTAATATAATCTGTACAATTTCTAACAGTTTCTAAGACTCTACTATGAATTGGACATTTAGCCACACATTTGCCTAAATGTGTATAATATGGAATTTTGCATCTGATACATGCAAATTGAGAAAATGTTGTACATCCTGAATCTAATTTTGATGCTGAATAGATATAAATTTTATTTTGGAAGGCATACATAGCATCAGTTCCTTATACATTTTATTCAATACTAAATGTTAAAAATTATGGATTAGATTGTATGATATTTTCTGTATTAAGTATTACTTTTTAAACTGGAATAGTTGTTCCATTAAGTAAAGTCAATTAAGTTTAATAAACATCAAAAAAATTGGATGGATTGGCAATAAATTTGTTATTTGTTTTATTGATAGTAACAAGTTCATATTCAAAATAGGTTTTATTATATATAGTAGATTAGCAACTAGATGTAGTACAAGTAATGGTATTTGTTGATTCATTAAAATAAGAATACATATAAAAATTAGTTTAAGAAGTGGAAAATTATTGGCTTTCTTCTTGGAGAACAACAGTTTTGATTGTTTTTGCATCTCTAGTAGAATTAAATTTTATTCTTATATACGAATCATCTTTCCATTCTCCAATCAAATACAAAATACCTTATAATTGCAACTTTGCATTTGTTTAAGCATGTGTGAAAGTAGAAATAATGATTTACTTTATTTTTTCATCAGGGTTTTGCTTAAAATCATCACTTAACCATACTCCATCAGCTATCTAGTATGTAATGAGATTAGATGAATCTGGATATGTTTTTGAAAAGACATCTAAATATATGATAATTTATACTTGTTGTGATTCCTGGTTAAAGACAATTTGTCAATAAGGGTGATTATAATTGTTATTTAGAAGAATCACATGTATTTGTACAAGTTGATGTTAAACTTGTTATTGGTGTATTTGATGGACAATTCATTTGTATACCATCTGTATAAAGATTAATATTTCTAATTCCATAATAAGAATTTTCTTATTCATTTAATGAATTAAACTTTATTGAAATAGAGTTTTAATCTTTAACCTAAAAGTCAAATATTAATTCAATAGTAATAAAGTAATGATTGCCAACTGGAGCCACACATAGATTACTATATAATTCTATTTAAGATTTATAAAACTTATTATGATATATTATCTTATCATCTATTGTAATAATAACTTCACTATCATCAAATAAATTAAAATAAAGATCAGCTTCTAATTTTATTTGAGTGACATCTTAATAATTACTAGAAAAAGTTCTATAAATTTCTTATCCAGAAATGGAAGCAATAAATTATCTTTCGCATTGATAATAAAATATAGCTTATACATCTTATCCTTTAATATACCATGGAGGAGATTCAGAGGTTGAATCAATATTCTTTAAATCTTGAAATACTAAAACCCATGCAGAGATATTGAGTACTAATAAAATAAACACAATCATAAATTAATGCATATTTTTAATTGAAGATATTTTTGTTCATATAATAGAAGATAATTGAGAGAAGACTTAAAAGATTTAATGTTCTATATTATGATACATTATTATATTACACTATTGTATATACATTATAAATATATTCAAAAAAATGAATTTAAAGCATTTTCATAACATATGAAGTATTTCCTTTATATCTTTTGTCTTAGTTCATTAGATACTAAAATGTATTTATTAATTACTTTACTAATTCTCTCTATTGTTGGATCCTTAAACAATACATATCATTGTGAATAATGCATCCAAAAACAGAAATGATGCCATCACTAAACAATAATTGAGAGCAAGACTATCTGAATCTTCATCTAAAAAAAATTAAGAGCATAACTTGCGAATCTATGAATAACTGATTATTGTAATGATTGTCAGAACACTACGACATAAAAAAAGAAATGATGAAAAAATCAAATAAAAAGTGACTATTTTTTGAGATTTCAATTCAGCTCCAAATATTCCATTACAACAATTTATTATTCTCAAGAAATGAACAATGTCTAACAAAACCAAGTAATAGAGAATCCCAAAATTATCTGGGTCCTATTATAATTCTTCAAAATATATAAATGAATGATAAGCTTCTATATTGACCAATGATATCATATTGTATATGGATAATACCTTTAAATATCTAATAATAATACAATTAGAATTGTGTTAGCTAGACTAAATAATGTTTTTTTGGCTTTCAACTTTCGATCCTCTTTTACAATAATTCTAACCAAATCTTTGTGTATTTATTTTTCATCTCTATCATGCAATTCAGAGGCAAAAGATACTCCTTAAATCTATCTCATGATTATCTAATGTTCATCCTCAATTTTATTCATATATAAATAATTATAAATATTGATTGTAAGGTAATATTCTAATTTTAAAAATTATTCAATATATGCAAAAGTAAGTTTATCATCATTATTAAGAGAGGAAATAGATCAAGCATTAAAATATTTCTGTTTCAAGTATACCTATTACAACATATTTGCTTTGATATTTTCATTATTTCAATATAATTTGCTACCATTTGCTCTACCAATTGGATTACTTATTATTCAAGAAGTTATTTGTTGGATTTGCTTTTCTAAAAGAAATCTCATATTATCACTATAACATATGCTTCAAGTTTTGGCAGCCATTTTTATAATAATTCTCTATTATATTGATATGTATTACTACATATTTGTTAACTTATTTGTTGTATTTACAACATTCCTTGGAATTAAATGGAGTTGTCAATAAGATAATTAGCATGAATATTCAACTATCTTTAGATATGTGAAAATATAAATTATATTTATAGCTTCAAGGATTCTATAGTATATCAGTATTGATTGCTTCATTATGTGTAACAATTAAACTGAATCAATTGGTCAATTGGACTTGGCCTTAAACTTTTTGGTGGTATTGGATGTATTTAAGTGCTCTTATAGGTAGTGCCTTTACAATATTAATGATCCTAATTTCTAAATTAATTAATTAATTCTACTACCATAGTATATCTCTCCATTCTAATGAATGTATAACATCAGTCCTTATTTAGATAAAACCTTGGTTTGGTCTTTTTATCTTTTTTCAATGGCCAGTATCATATCTGGTGTATGGATAATAAATACATTCAATCTACTAGGTATGAATCTAAAAATGGATATTGGAATAATTGTATTTGGTGTACTAATAGCATTTAATTTGTTTATGTTTGCAGGAACTCATTTTATATTTAAAGACATTTCTATAGTTTTTACTTAACTCATGAATGCTGATTTTCAACAAAGAGAATTACCATGTAGTCCTAGAATGGATGAAATTAGAATCAAATAAAATACAAAATCTCCAATATTATTGAAAAAATTGTCATCTTCATATTTTCGTTTAGTAACTTGCTAGGAATTCTTAATGTATGCTAATACTAATAAAGAAGTACTATTTACAGAAAGGGCCAATAATTTATCATAAAATATTATTAGAGATGTTAATTAAGAAATTAAAAGAATCAAAAAGTCAAAGTAAAAAACAGACATAGTTCTTGAAACTCAAAAAACATAAGCTGCCAATACTTAATGCATTATTTGTTGTGAAAAATAAGCAAATTCAGTATTAATGAAATGTGGACATGGAGGTATATGTTATGAATGTGCATTTGAAAGTGCATAAAAAAGTCGAGAGTGCTTTCTCTGTAGATAAAGAGTCACAGAAATATATGAAATTGATTAAAATGAATAAGGCAATTATCTTAAAGTTTATAGTAAAACTAGAATTATTTGATTACCTTATTTATATATATATATTTAGATTGATATTATTAAATCAATTATAATTATTATGATATAATAAATCTTTTTTTATTTTTAAAATATATATCTCTCATAAGGATTATTGGCCCTTATTAGTAGCCATAATTCAACCACTTAGTAGCAACGAGCCAAACTTCTTAAAACATTAAATAATTACATCAATCAGTATTTTAATTTTATAAATTTACTAAAAATCTTCATCTTTTTAAATTTATATTATTACATTAGAAAATAACAGCTTATTGACTCTATCCATTAAAATGAAAGATAATTTCTATTATTAATTTTTCCCCTTTTATTTAGTAGCAATAAGTTATTTTTATCATAGTTAAATTTGCTAAAACCACATTATTTTTCATTTACTTAATCTATAATCTACTGTTTTTTAAATTACTTAAAGCAAGACTTTTTTACTTACAGGCTGTTTAGTAAGTTAATCCTATTTCTCTATTTATGTGATAACCTAATATTACTTTTTTTTCATAGCTGAATATCATAAGGCTATTTAAGAAATAATAATCAGATTTGAAGTTTGTGAAATAATAGCAGCAAGTAGGATGACTCAATATTTAAGAATAATCAAATTGGTCTTAGATTTTATCGTTCCATTTTTGTTTAAAAACTATGTAGATACTTTTAATAAGTAAAAAATCTTAATGATTATAAGGTTTGTTGAACTCTCCTAAGATAGAGAATATGACCATGCCATTTTTGAAAGGAGAAAATTATTTGTATAAAATCAAAAAATAAATTAGCAAAGAATAATTAAAATGCTTTACTTGTTTAAAGATGGCAAAAATGATTGATCTGGATTAACTATATGCGCATAAAATTTATTTTTCTATATTTTTGAATTAGAGGAAGATAAAATATTCTCCAGCCAAAAAATTTCTAAAACTAAAATGGAAACAATAAATCAACTTGGAGAGGAACTACCATTTTATTCATGCTGCTGAGACTTTTGATCAAATGAATCACCCCATCTATATTAGCCGGTAAACAGAGAAATCCATGAATAAAACCTAGTGTTGAGGATGAATTGTGATTAAATTTTTAAATTATTTTTGTGCAATCATATTTTTATATAAAATAATTTAATTAATTAGCTTCCAAATTTATATGAAACAAAATTTAACTTTTGAAGAAGATAATTACAATTACTTAGATAAAAACTCCTATCAATAACATGTATAAGAAATTAATCGTTTAACTTAAATGATTAATTCAAATATGTTTTTAGATAAAGCTGAACTTTATTATAAGAAAGGAATGAATTTATTTGTTATAAAAAATCATGAGGAAGCAGTATAATCTTTTAATAAAGCAACTAATATTGATAAGAATCATGCTGAGGCTTATTTTCAAAAAGGATAAATCTTTCGTACCTTCTTAAAAGATCCTAAAGCAGCTGTAAATGAGCTAGACGAGGCTATTAGAATAAATCCTAAATATGTAGAAGCATATAATTGTAGAGGCTATGCACTTATGGATTTGCATAAGTATGAAGATGCAGCAGAGTCTTTTGATAAAATTATAAGAATTAATTAGGAAAATAATCGAATATGCCCATATTCAATCCTAGAACAACTCTATTTTTGTGATGGTTATCAAGGAAAAGCATCAGCATTATAAGAATTAGGAAGATGGGAAGAAGTTTTGGAAATTTATAACCACTTAATAAAGCAAAAACCAAATTATGAACATCATCATCATGACAAAGCAAAAGCTTTACTTTTTCTTAACAGAATAGAAGAAGCATTAGATTCTATAAATAAAGCTCTAATAATTTAACCAGATAATCCTTTATTTTTATTCACAAAAGGTTAAGCTGTTGCATTATCTAGAAATAGAAAAGCAACAGAAGAGTTTTTTAATTAGAGTTTATAATAAAAATCTAAATTTTTTGATAGTGCTTCCACTTACTTGGAGTATGGATTGGCTATGGATATTTTAGGGGATAAAGTAGAAGCAATTAGAAACTTTGATCTTGCAATACAAGATTCACCTGATTATTATCAAGCTTATTATAGAAAAGGATTAATACTTATTTCTTTAGGGGAGAAGATGAAAGCATTGGATTGTTTTAATAAAGCTATAAAAATAAACCCTGATTATATAGAAGCCTATAATGCCAAAGGTTTGATGTTATCCGAATTAGGACAAAATTGGGAAGCCATAAAATGCTATAATAAAGTGATTAAAATGAATCCTAATGATGCACATGCTTATAATAATAAGGGATGGTTCTTATCTTAAGAAGGAGATTATGAATCTGGTCTTGAGTGTATAAATCATTCTTTAGAGATAAATCCGAAAATTGCACATACTCATCATAGCAAAGGATTTGCATTGTCAGCTTTAGGTAGATAAAAAGAAGCTATAGAATGTTATAATAAAGCAATAGAACTTGATAATTAACTAATATGTGCTCACAGCGATAAAGGAATGTCTTATCTTTTGCTAAAAGAATACTCTCTTGCAATAGAATGTTTTGATAAAGCTCTTAGTTTTGATGCTAATTACACTTAAGCCTAAAAGGGAAAAATTCAAGCAGAAAAATTATTATTTTGAACACCAAAGGTACCGTTTAGCATTCGTCGAAATGCAAAATGAATTAAATAGAATTTAATACAGATTATTAAATCAATTTTTTTCTTTTACTACTATTTCTGTTTAGAGCAAAAAAAGGGTCTTACGATAGTTAAATTATCTCTAAAATACCTATGGAATGGTCAAAGCTTTTCCTGCTGATACAATCATATATTCAGACTTTTTATAAAAATGGTTGGTAACATTAAGAAATGGAATATATAAAAGTAAGGACCAAGATTCTGGATGCTCCATTTAAATTATTATTTTAAATCAACCCTTTTTTTATTTTATATGTATAATTATATTGTTTCATAATTAAGTTACTTGACAAAAATACACTAAAATATACACAGAATCACATTCAAAATAATAAATAAGCCAATCCTTCCTCAAAATATTCATGGAGTAAGGAGTAATTACAATTGCATTTTGTGGTTGGATATTGATTTGTTCTTTATAATTTGAATTGAGAAATTATTTACTTTTTTTTTTTTCCTGATATAATTACTCTTGAATTTTATAAATATTAATAAAACAATAATTTCATTTACTTAATTTAGAAGAATTATTAATTATTTGTTACACTGATAAGGTAACAATATACTCAAATTATTAAAGATATTTTGAATACTAAAATTAAGAGAGTTTAGAATAGAATTAGTATATCATTTGACTATTTTTGAATATTGATAGAACAATGATTATATAAATATTTATGAATGATATTAATTAACACATTAATCAATTTAAATCTTTTTGTTTTGATTCTTAGTTAATACACTAAAGTCGTATATCTCTAAATTATGTCAGCAATTTCTATATATCCAAAAACTCTTCTGTTTCCATTTTCTTATCTTATTATAAAGACTAAATTTAAGTATTTGAAACATTCTTTAGTCTTTGTCTAAGCATATTAAAAGCTGGTCCTTAAGGTAATAGCATCATTAATCCAAACAAACACTTCATTAAGAAAGGATGAGAATCATATTCTAACAATTATAATCTTAAAACTTTAATATTTATTTATATTACAAATGAATACTGGTGTTTCTAGAACATTAATTAATTAGGCTATTTCTAATAATATATATTAATTGACTTCCACTTCTGAAAAACTAATAATTATATTATAAGCCAACTCATATTCTTCAGATAATAAACATAATGTAATTACACTCATAGAATTGTAACAAAATGTTCTATAGAGTGTTTCAAAGATTTCTTAATTATGTTATCTTTATTTTTCATCTTTTTCATGCTTTAAATTTCTCAATATATTTCTTAGATTTTATAATTCTTTTTCTGAAATTAATAAAGTAGTTAATGTTTAAACAGTATTACTAATAAATAGTACATCATTATCTGAATATATTTCTAATAATTTAGCTGTTATTGTAAAATAAACCTTTTATGGATTAAGAAGAGAACATAATTTTTTAAATATCTAATCTCCCTTCTTTTCAGATTATTCTTAATTTTTATGTAGCATAGTCAATATTTTGTCAATAACAATTTCAAAATATTGACTATGCATAGATATATTTGCCAACACATCCATAATATTTTAGACTATAGCAGATTCTGAATCTGCCAATTTATCAATTAGCTATTTAAATAATTAGAAATACTTTTGTTAATATATCTTCTATAGTTGGAAAGAGGGATTCAGAATATGTTTCTAATAAGTGTTTCATCCATATTAATGCAGATTCAGCTGTATTACTTTTTTTATCAGTTAACATCTCCTTTATTGTTGGTACAATATTCATAAATTCTACAGATTAATTTTTGACTCTTTCCATAACTTTTAATAACAATTCATTTGTTTTTTAAGCAGCTTTTCTTATTTCTTCTTCTTCATGAGATAGTAAAATTAGAATTGGACCCAATATTTAACTTAAACTATTTAATATAGTTTTTCTTAAAGGTGATTCAAATCCACCTAAAAATTATTACATTTAATTCTTAGAAATTGGAGATGTATTACTTCTTAGATATTCTTCTTATTTAATATGAGAAGTTGAATGCTAAAATCCCAATTTCCCTTTTTATTCTTCTTCTAATTCTTATTAAAATACTCTTAAATATTCAAAAATCCATAATAAAGAATTTAATTTAGCATAATTATTTTGATTTCCTTTCATTTAACAAATTTTCAATAAAATTTCTATAATTTATTCATTAACTCTTTAATCAAGATTCACTTTAATTTCTACTTATTTTAAAAATTCATTTGCTTATAAATCTGCACCATTACGAACTTCCCTATTTATATTAATTCATTTTACTTGTTTGATTCTCCTAACATCATGAAAATACCTTCCAATATCATAGGAAAATAAATGTATAAATCATTATTATGACATTAATTTAAAACCTTAATCCATCCAAGTAAGAATTGTCGAACATATGTTACTCTTGATTTTAATTTACTCTATAACTAAATCATAAAAGAGTTTAAATTGAAATAACATGGTTTTCCTGGGTCTGAAAATCTTTCCTGAACTGCTATTTAAACTTGAGTCTTTAATTATGCATCCAATAAAAACATAGCTTAAACAATCTAATTATCTTATTCTGCTGATCTTCCTAATTGATAATCAAATATTTCATTAAAATTTAAAAGAATCATTGTTTTCATTATTTTAGTTAATTACAACAAACATTCAACAGCATATTATCTAGCCTTGTCTTCTTTATCATTTAAGCATTCCAAAATTGGTTAAGTCAAATCTTTAACACATCTTTCAGCTAATTATGGAAACTATATATGAAAATCACAATTACTTCTTTCACTAGAATTTCAGCCACTGTCTAAATAGCAAACATTCCTTATCTTTTTAGGTACAATTATGAAGAAGATGTAAATTTTATTTTTAAAGTTTCTATTATTTATTTGATTAATAATTCCTTTCCACTTTAAGCATAAGATTGAACTAATGATTTTAATTATTGACATCCTTATTGTTTCTTATCCTAACTTTTATCATATAATAGTTTGATGATTTATTAAGGTACAACATTGTCATCCATGAGAAAATATAAGTTTATTAATAAATTTCATATTAAAAAGGGTAAAAATGCATCATCATAATACAATGTCTTATAAATATAATTAAACCTCTTTTATTAATAAAATAATAAATGAGTTTAATAAATGAATGATGAATAGAAGTCAAATAATATTTTATCATATTATCTTGATAATATATAGAGATTATAAATAAATGAGACAATTTTTGTTATAAAATAATTTCAATAAAAAAATGAATTGGAAAATTTTAGGGGACTTTATTAGTTTAATCATCTAAACCAACTTATCACCTTCCCTAAATAATTAGTTTTTTACTAGTTTTCAAATTACATTTTATTACTTGTAATTAACATACTTTTTAGTGAGTGAAAATCATGAATACATTTATCGTTTGATAAATATGTTATCAAGAATTAGTTTGATCACTCCAATATTTATAGATTCATATTCCATAAATATGTTAATAGGAATAATCATAATTTTGATAAATATTGTACCATACATCATTATTACATACAGAAAGATTACTAATAAAAATAATAACATTTCTAAAAGTATTTTACAAGTAAGAATATAATATATATTAAAGATGTCAACAATGATTGTCAATTATTATTTTCTTTATTTTTCGTGGTTTTTATATTTACCTTAACTTTACTACGTAGGTTGGAATTACATCTATTCAAGTGCTTCACTTCTAATTCTAGCATCAATAGTATTAATACTTACAATTCTAAGTCTTATAATTTCAAATGTCTATTTTATTAATTTTGAATTCAACGAACAACATTTAAGAAAACATTTTTCTTATAGTGATTTATTGGCATAATTATTAATGATACCAATGGCTTTATTATACTTAAATAATGATACAACAACTCAACTTATTAGTAGGATATTACATGGTTTAATATTAATTATTCAGATATATGATGCCTATTTCTCATTGCCCTTAGGGTAACATATTTAATTAATAGATAGATTTTCAGCATCAGGTTTCATATTAAATCGAGCTTTAATGACACATTCAGTAATTTTTACATTTTCATCAATTAAAGCTTTAAGTACAGCTAGTCCTTATAGCTTAGCCACAATTATGTTGATAATGCAACCTGTAGTCTAATATTTGTTTTAAATTCTATTTGAGAGTAAGAGATCAAATGTCTATATATCTAGCAATATAACTAAAAATTAATATTATGATTTACTTTATATAGAAGATTTTTTTGAATTAAGTTAATTGGCATAAAAAAATAAACAAATAGAAATTGAATTTATTTAAAAATTAGTATTACATACAAATAGATGTAATTCAACAAAATGTTAATGTAGAAAAATTGAACCTTAAAAAATTCTATAATTTAATTAAATTGTTATAATGATATCATGTTTATTTAAGGGTAGTTTTGAAAAATATAAACATCATTAATTAAATTTAAGAGTATTTGAAATTTTTAGCCTTAAATTTTTAACATTTATAAATAAATATAAACATAATGCTCCAAAAAGTTATTAGGAATTAAAGATTTTATTTTAAAAAAAGAGAGATTATTCATTTTATTTTATTTAAATGTGTCTTGTATTATAATAAATCCTATAAGCATAATTAAGAAAGGATGAAGACTATAATATTAATAAAGATACAAGAGTTTCTAATGTTAAATTATAAGTAAGTAAAAGTGAACATAGTATTGTTTAAGATCTATATTAAATGGAATAAGTTAAAAATAATATCATACCATTATTATTATAAGTAGGATAATTTAAATAATAATTTTGGAAATCTTTTAAAGAAGGTAAATTTTCAGAATATTCTTAAATTGAGAAAGAAGTTAGAAAATTATAATAATTGCGAGATAATCTAATATTATAATTTAATGTATATTAACCAATATTTTATCATAATGGTAGAACTTTTAATGTTTAATTCTTAAAATTTAATGCATT